AGATTTCTTCTGCTCTGAGCTTTGATACAAGAGAAGAGGGAGTGTTAGGCCTGCTCTTTAGCTGACTGACTTCTAGCTCCACCCAAGTCTCCTTTCTCCCTCCTGGGAGATTAGAAGAACTCCAGGGCATCATCTAATCTACCCCACTCCATTATCCTCCCAGGACCCCCAGGGAGAAGACTGTGACCTCCAGCCTGCCATGAGCATAGCTAAGTGTGTCTCCAGCTCCATACTCCCTTGCCTGCTGGAGGTGCCAACGCAAACGTGTGCCAGCCAGGCTAAGTAACGGGGTTCTTGACCTCAGGAGACCTTGGCTGTATCTTCAGAGCATGGAAATCAGCTTGGCCATGGCCTGAGGTCCTCTGGCCTGGCTCTCACCGAGTGGAGTGCTTTCCAGGTTTCCTAATGAAAGGAGAGATCAGTGCAGCCACATAAATTTCCCAAGCACAGAATAGAAGATGAAACAAGGGTATGGTTGGTTGCCCAACTTTTCTGGTTTTCTTTTTACAACCATTGTTTTTTTTAAATCTAAAATGACAAGAACAGTATACTAGGGGTAGAGAGGATGTGCCATCATCGTTCAAAAGGAGAGTGGCTGAGAAACAGCTGAAATCACCCAGGGCTGAGCACATCAACTGTCCTAAGCTCCAACATTCAGGCCTGTAATGTCCTTCAGGAGATAAAAATATGTTCAGATATGTTCAACAGAGGAGCTCAGGCTTTATCATGAAAATTTGTCCGCATTTTTTAGACACATCTTTGTCATAGCCCTGTTTGATCTTGAGGTAAAGTGTTAAAAGTTCTCTGAAAACTGATAGAGCATCAACAAAGTCATAAAACACAACATCTGTGAAGGTAGGGGAACTAAGGATATTTAGTGAACGCTGTTGAAAAATGGGAGGTGGGAGGGAAGGGGAAGGGAGAGCAATGGAAGGGGTTGAATGGACCAAAGTAAAGTAGGCTCACAGTGGGATACATTGAGACGCCCCTTTGAACATCAATTTAAATATTAACAATGAAAGACAGGTACAGTGTGTGGGGGGGTACTTGTGGGAGGGGGAGGGTGAATGAAGGCAATTAAGGTGAGGGAGTACGGTTGATGGACTTCATATACTAATATGAACTAGAATAAAGAAACCTCTTGCAATAGTTTTAAGTGGGGCAGGAAGGGGGGGGATGATTGGGGAGAGACGGTGGTGTTGATCTAACCAATGTACAATATAAACCTATTTGGAATTGTCACAATGAACCCCCCCCTGTACAACGAATGTATCCTAATTAAAAAAATTAATGGAAAAATTTCCCTGAAGATTTAAGGTCTCTCGCCTTGCACAATTCCAACTTTATTAAAGAGGAAAAAATGCTGACTGGATTTAGAGGTTTTACACTATAACTGAGTGAATAATGTTTTATAGGCAAACAGCACCCAGATGGGGAAATCAAGTCATCAATGACCAAAGGAACTTACCTTCCCACCAGTCCACCGGAAATAGTTCTGTCTCATGAGTATACAGACCTATGAAAATGATCTACATTTAAATATCAAAAAGCAAGCACATTTCTTCCTCTGACTCACAAGAAAAAATATAACTCAGGGCTAAGAGATGCCCATCAAAATGCCATGCTGTAGACTGGTGGGTTCTGAGTCAAAAAATATGCTGGAAAGCCAGGAATGCTGGTGCAGGCCTATAATCCCAGCATTCAGGAGGTCAGGGCATGAGCACTGCAACAAATATGCTAGAATTGACAAGCTCTGGAATCAGGTTCTAGCTGCAAGATATATTCTTCTTGTGAAGAGACAGTGTAATTTTCCTATCTCACCATGAAGCAAGCTAACTCACGGGTTGCAATGAATGAATGGGTTAATAGCTGGTGGAGAAATAGGAAAAGTAGTGAATGGTTTTCTCACCAGAGTGGAGAAGAGCAGAGATAGGAGTGATAGTCTTTAAACACATTCATCAATACTTTGAGGAAGGAAGTGAAATGCAAGTCTGTGTATGAAGCAATACCATTCCAGTTACCAAACACCATGAAGAAATGAGAGGAACCGTAGATGAATTTACAGCTCGACGCAAGGGCCAAGGAGGGGATGGGAGGTGAAGGCAGTCTTGTCAGTGTCCTGTAAGTCTTGGCAGTCTACAAAACTGTATTTCCCAAATATTCCACATTAAGGAAACACTGACTCTACTGAACATTTCTTCAAAGTAGGCCAATGTGAGTTAAAAAATTCATGTCCTTAAATGTTTATTTACAAATTGAATAATTAGAAGTGACTTCCGATAAAGAATAAATGGAGTTTTGGGGGTTTAGTGAAGCAGTATAATTTTGAAGTATTCAGCAGGAAGAACGTGTGGGAGAAAAAGAGGTAGCATGTCACTTTATGTCAAATTGTTTTCATACCTTCAGAAATATTCAGTAAGAGAGTTATGTACTTGAAGTTCAGCTAATGAAAAAGAGGGCAACTAGAAGACTGGTACAGATATTGATATTTTAAAGAGAGGAGCAAACCTTTAAAAACTATCTTTAATGTCAAATTATAGGGTGTTATGAAAGTTTTCCATTTTTATGTCAGTCATTTGGACAGGTATGGTAATGAAAAATAAATACAAATCAGAATTTTCAAAAATTGAAATTTCAAGTCTTTCAGGGTAGAAGAAGTAAGTGACACTACGCATTCATTCAATATCTTGAAGGTGTTAAAACATGGAAGGCAGGATGAGGTAAGTACACAGGTCCATGTGCTACTGAGCAGAAAGTGGTCAGTGCCACGAACCTCTGTCCATGAGAGAGAGAGAGAGAGAGAGAGAGAGAGAGAGAGAGAGAGGAGGAGTGCCCATGGTCACGCAGGAGGAAGGCCACTCTTAACAGGGCTGGTGGAAAATGTGGCTCAGAGTGGCCGAGATAAGAGGAGTCAGATAGGTTGGATCCAGTCACAACCTTGGGCACTTGGCCAAGGACTTTGAACTTCATTCTCTCGTCCTCTCTGGCGTTCTGTATGACCTGTAGTATGCACTTGTTCATGGGCTGATGGGATGAATGAAGTCATTGATTTTTTTTTTTTGACCATGCAAATAACAAGCTCCAATTTTTGCTTCAGGAAGATTAAGTGTGTGCAGAGGAACGAGAGGGATGGGTTACAAGGGATCCAGTCAAGAGCACAAGGTGATAGTTACTAAACTAATCCTACTAGATGCTCTCAATAATTATTTAATTCTAATGAAAACCCATCAAAGAAGATAGAGTCAATACACCATTCCCATTTTACTATTAAAGAACCATGTTTAGATAGCCTGAGTATCTAGCCCAAATGTCACATGTATAATTGGGTACAATCAGACTCCATGTCTAAATCTAAAAAGGTATACGTTACAACCATTTTCCTTAGACCCCCACAGAGCAGAAAGGTGCACACTCTTAAATCTTGCTTTTATTTAATTTTGTCATTAATTTTGATTAAATTTTTATGTTACTCATCAGAAAAGGCATGACTTCGAAAAAGTAAAAACTATAGCATGTTGATACTCCTCAAACGAGGATGATTTTTAACAAGGACAATGACAACAAGTGGAAAGGAAGGGAGAGAGGAGAGATTTTAGCAGTGAGAAGGATGTGACATGTGGGCACATACTTTTACAGGGTAAGAAAGAGAAGATTTCTAGCTTTCCCAAATTGTGGACTCCAATTTGGGAAGGAAGCTGGGGATAAAAGCTTCAGTCTTATTCTTTGGGATGACAGCAAAACACCCATGTGTTCGCTTTCTCAAGATCACATAGCTGAATAGGCAGTCCACAACACAGGGAAGATTGCAATTCCACATTGCTTCTCAGAGCTGGACACGTACCAAACTCAGGCCACCCTCTCTGGTTGTCTGTCTGGTCTTTCCACAAGTGCTTTCTGCTCCTTGGCACATTTCTGTCTTGTCTTCAGTTTGTCTTTCCAAGGAAGGATTCATTCCCAAGCTCTCTCTTCTGGACTCCCCAGTTTTCCCATCTTAATTCCCAGTAGTCTGCCCTGTTCTGTGTCTCCCATCAGATTGTGTTGCTGCAGGGCTAGAGCGCTTCACCTTGAAGTTTGCGTAGTCTCTAAGGCTATCACTATGTCTAACCCTCAAAAATATTTGTTGACTGTGATAAACTGATTGCTGTTGATACCCTGCCTATTAAGTCAATCTCTTCCTTCTCTTTCACAGCACAGTTACCAACCCCACGACCAGGAAATCATTTTCCTCATCACACACCAGGGTATTATTCATGCAGTCCACTCACTGTAAGGACTTCCCTTGAGATAAAGCTAACAATTAGTTGAAGATTTACGAATTTCCTAGGGCCAATCAACTTGTTAACAAGTGTACTTATGCTAGTGGGGGAACATTTCTTCACTCTTTCACACTTCAAAATATGCAAGGAGTGGTAAATGCGTCAGAATTTCTCTATGGGAAGGGTCTCACTGCACTCACACTAGAAGAGGGGTCTGTGGTCCTTTTCTTGAGCCATTAAAAATGAGGGTTTGTGTGTATGATGTTTGGCTCAGTACTGTTGGAGGAGCCTCTAGTACACCTCTTGACTCCCTTTGCATTAAGGCAGTTTTAATATTCACCAAAATATCAATTTTTTGTCCCCCAACGGGGAATTCCCCTGGTTGGGAGCGGTCCTTCTTCTCCTTATTGAGGGGGGAGCTCAAATCACAGAGAATCTGGGGAATCACAGGAGAGGCCAGGTTTTTCCCCTTGGGGGTGGGGGTTCCAAGGCTGCTCAGAGCCACCGCTAAGGTCCACGATTGGTCAACGCCACACGCCAGTTGAGTCCCGGAGAGGCGAGGCGGGGCGGGGCGTGAAAAGGCCGGGTGAGGAGGGGGCGGGGCCTCGGCGGGCGGGGCGGGGCGAGCTAGGCGGCGGCCGTGGGGGCGGGGCCAGGCGCGCGGCCGTGGGGGCGGGGCCAGGCGCGCGGCTATAGCCCGGGCCTAGCGGCGCTGGGCTCCGCCTCGCCGGGCTACGCAGGCGGCGGGGCTGCGGCACGGGCCGGGCGGCCGGGCGGGCGACACCATGGCGGCGGCGGAGCCTGCTGCTGCGGCGGCGGCGGCTTCTTCCGAGGCGCCGGTGGCGACTACAACGGCAGAGCCCAAGGCGGGGGATGAGGACGGGGGCGAGGTCCGAGTGCTGCAGAGTCTGCGGGGCAAGATCTGTAAGCGGGGCCGGGCTGAGGGGAGCCCCGGCAGCGGCGGCACGGCTGAGGGGCAGCGGGGGTGGCGGCCGGGAGGGGGCCTGCGCTGACCGAGCCGGGCCGGGCGAGGCTGGAGGGGGGGGGTGTGTGTGTGCGCTGGGCCTTGGCGTCCCCGGGCCGGGGCGGGGGCGTGAGGGGCTCGGCCGCGGGCGCGGCCCGCCGCCGCCGGAGCCGGGGGCGCGAGGAGCTTCCGGCTGCCCTCCCGCGCAGGCCTCCGGGAGGCTGCGGGGTGACGGGCGGGAGGCGCGGCCGCGCGGGAAGCGGGGCGGCCCGAGGGGAGGGGGCTCCCGGGGCCGACGGGCTCGCGCCGGACACCTGTGCCCGCCCCGCCCCGCCGCGCCGCGCCGCGCGGGGACCCGGATCGCGGGCCGGCGTGACACACACGGGGACTCGGGGACTCGGCAGGATGCAGTGGCTTCCTGTGGCGGGGCTCACGGCGCGGCCGCCCGGGCCGCGGTCACGCACTGAGTTCCGACTCTCGGGAGCCGCCGGCCGCTCCGTGATGTGAAACTGGGCTCAAGGCGCCCAGCAGTTGCCTGGGATGCACAGGCAGCTCCTTTTCAGTCACTTGCACGTTTATTAATAGTTTTAATAAACCCTATATTATGGACAGGACAGCTCCTTTTCAGTCACTTGCACGTTTAAAAAAAATGACTCGAGATTATAGACAGGACAATTTCAATCATTTCCCCATTGGCTTAAAAAATGATCCAATACTATAGACAGGCTAATTTCATTTCAGTCATCTGCACACTTATTTTTAAGAAATGGCTCTTTGGTATTGGATTGCTTTCTTTCTCCAGTTCATTTAAACTAAATGATTTTTTTTTCTATTTTAAAAATACATCAACTTTTTTTTTTTTGCATTTGTTGAAAATTAGCATTATTTTCTTTATTCAGTATTCTCAGACTGGAAGCATGCCTTGTGTAAGTAATCCATAATTATAAGGGATACTTTTTATATTGTATGAAGTAAATTGGATTGTGTGAAAATAGCTAGCAATGCTTTTTCTTGGGCAGGTTATAATTTTTCCTCTCCTAAATGATGTTGGATTCTCCTGCCTTTTTTTTTTTTAAGGTTACTCCCTTTTCAAGGATTTGGAATTTTATAAACCCCAGAAGGAGACATGCTATATTTCACCATGTTTTTATTTCCTGAAATAGTTCTGGGACTCTTTATGTTGCTGTTTGGTGTTACCAAGTTTGAACTCAGGGCCTCAGTCTTGCTAGGCACAGGTGCTCTACCTCTTGAGCCAGGGTCCCAGCCTGAGATTACAGTTCTTTATTTTTTATTTTGGCAGTAGTGGGATTTAAACTCGGGGCCTCACACTCAAAAGGCAAGCGCTCTACCACTTGAGCCACGCTGCCAGGCCTGAGATTACAGTTTTTCACCTGGCTAATGACACCAGAGAATAGCTCTTTTGCATATCTGAGTTGTCAGCATTAAAGTTTAAAGCCTTTTCAGAATTTACATTAAATCTTATATTTAATATCTGCATATATCTAATTTAATATTCAGGAATACTGAGTGGGCACAAGTGCCAACCACCCTCCCCAAATGTGGTTTTACAAATTTTTACCACTTAATATTTTTGTTACTTGATGCTCGATACTGTCTGATGGAGCCTCACTAATGCATTACTGCAGGTTACACCATGAAACAACATATACACACATCTTGGACTCAAGGCTTAGGGTGGGTTCTTTCCAGAAGGATGGAGTTGCCTTATACGTTCACCTGCTTCGTGGCACAGGCCACTGAGAACAGTTTTGTAAGAGGCCTCACTATAAATGAAACTTGGGTCTGTGAATTAAAAAACACAACTTTGTTTCTGTTTTAGAGCAACCTTGGCAACCAGACTTAAATTCATCATTCAGTAACTGGGAATGATATTACTACTTTAATCATAGTCAAGGTTTATCCTGGTCACTTTGCTTTTTGAATTGCTCATAATAGCTCCGGGTCATGGAGTGACCGTTTCATAGAAAATATGTATTAGTGTATGGATGTACAGAATAACCCTCTCCCGTTTCTTTGACCTCCCCGTAGCTGGTATAATTTAGAGTTGATTGAGGCTCAGAATCTTGTGAGGAGATGCTGTTTTTCTGTTTTCCTGAAACTGACATGTGGGTTTTCTAGGGTGGGGATTCTAGGTCTGCAGAGTCACTAGCAGGTGCTAAAGTCATAGAAGTGGTCTGACTGACAGTGAAGCTAGTAAGTTGCTTGGGAAGCTGGCTACTTGTATCACCTTCTTTACCATGCTGAGAAACCTTGGAAGAAAGCCTTGTAGGGTCTCTTGCCTGGAGGTGTGTTTGCAGAGTAGGAACTGCTGAATGGAAGCCTCTGATGTGGAAAGTTAGAGACCCAGGGTGAAAGCCAAGCTTGAAAAGAAGAGTTCTTATTCCTGGGTTTGGTAGGACCCTTCCACTTCCATCCTGGTAAAAAAAAAACAAGGATGGATCGTTTTAAGCTTCTTTAAAGTTCTAGAGATAGATAATGGTCCACAACCTTCTGTTGGGGTTTCATTTGTGCATTTATTAGTTTTCCACGTGCTTCACAAGATACAAGATTAACAGATCGAGAAACCATTTGGTAGCCATTTTCACACAATCAACTGATTTTAGCACATCCAGTGTTGCTGACAATATTTTGTCTTATAGATTGATACTCAATTTCCTGAGGTCATTTTAGTGCCCTAGGAAACCAATGACTGTTTTGAATGGTCGGCTTCCTTAAATGTATTCAAGAGACAAACTTGGTTGTTGGATATCCTACAGTTGTCATATGAACCCTTGATAGAGGAAATTAGGGGTATAATCCAGACTCTATCCTTTTGTCTGGACTCCTGTGCAGTGAGTAGCAGGGATACTAGCATATTTGCATGCTGCTCCCCCCTCCCAAAAAAAAAAAACCCACACTCAGGGGAAAAAAAGGATTTGAGCTTTCTTTATTTATCTTCAGGCTTCATGCTGTTATTTTGTGACCTCCTTTTTGGTTACCACAGTTGGTTCAGTTTGCTCTTGTACAGTTAAGTCAGATTGTTAGTGAAACAATCTACTAAAGGGATACCAGATTCTCACAGGAGCCCAATGTGTAGGTGTTGAGTTTTTAGATGTGTGTTCAGTGAAATGTGTTGGGACCTGATGTGTCCCAGAACTCTCTTGGTGTTCCTGATGTTTTCACACCAAGAATGACTTAGTCCTGTTTGACAAAGTAGGGAGGATCTTTGGGGTGTGGTTACAGTGTTTGAGCTTTGGGCCTGGTAAAGTTAATCACCTGGGGTTGAATCTTCACTTAATTTCTAACTTTTGTTAACCTCTGTGTTCCTCCATATTCTCAGGTGCAAAATGGGGATAGTGAAAAACCTACCTCCCAGGATTACTTGTGGGAGGGCCACATGAGCCAGCCCAGGTGGGTCAGCCTGGACCATCTGTTAGGAAGTAGTAGCGAGGAGATAATACTCACCTTTATCTGATGCTCTTGTCCAGCACGTATGGCATTTCCTGGTACTCACAGCTGATAGAAAGCAGACCTGTACTCTGCTTTGCACATCGTTAATTAATGTTCACATGGCTTTAGGTAGCTCATTAGACCTCAGCTTGAGAAAGGCAATAATGGGTCATCACCAGCCATTTTGTTCGTGTTGTTTCCTCTGCCTGGGATTGTCTTTCTCCTTTCCCCCTAACTCCATATTGATGTCAGGGAACTTCTACTCTAGTCCTCAAAAGCCGCCTCTCCTCTCTGTGATCTGCTCAAAGCTGTCTTTGGTGCACACCCACCCCTATTTCTGGCCTGAGGGAATTAGGCCTTCCTGCTGCTAGGGAATCATAATTCTTGTCGTTTCCTTATTGCACATGTCATACAAATCATTTGTATATTTCCCCTATTGTGCTGTGAGCTTATTTATTTTTTTAAACTCTCGTCTAGAAGATGCCCTTGTCTTGAGCGTGGTTTGAGATAATGTTATGAAAGTGTTTTGTAAGTTACGTAGCTCAACAAACTAGAAGAGGTTAGTAGTATCAAAGGAAAACTACTTGGGTCTATCAGGATCCATCTTCTTTCAAAATCACAGTTCCCACTGTACTTAGGTTTGAACCGATGCCAAAGTTATCTTGTTAGGTAAAGGATCAAAACTTTCTAAGTGCGCTGACGGTTGTTATTGGGGTGCTTCAGTTCCTGACTGTATTCCTGAGTTTTGTTACTAATTGGTCTTGGAGCCAGGAAAAGAAAACCTCATAGTCATACTTCACCCATTAAGTGCTTTTAGTTGGCATGGCAGGTGTGAAGTTTTTGGTGATAAAGTAAAAATCAAAACTGTTTTTAGTCTAATGGTGGTAAGAAGAAGCAATTAAACAGGGTTTATTCATGCTAAGAATTCATTATCATCAAATATTTGAAATTAAATGATGAGTTGTTTAGTAAGCTAATAGAGGGAGAAATTAAAAAGGTTTCCTTATGGTAAATAACTCAGAATCATCAGAAATTTGAAATGAGGCGATGACTTATTTGGGATGGAAGAAGAATCCATCTTTGAGATAGATAGAAACTGGAGAGAAAAGGATTCTTTGTAAGAAGTTCACAAGCAAGCTGGTCACTTGCTCTGTAGAAGACAGGAGCTCAACCTCAATGAGTTCATAGTTTTGTTTTTTTTAATTTTTAACTGAGAACTCTTTGAATAAATAGACTCTTAAGTGACTGTGGAACTAATGTAACTAGGAAAAACATCATTTTATCCTTTAATCGTAGATGCTAATCCTATTTTCTTGTTAATGTGCTTTATGAGATTATTTGAAACGAGATCATATGTTTTACCTACTAATAAAGGTTTATGTTCTTTAATGAGCTGGTAACAAAGTTTTGTTTATAGCCATGTATTAATGTTAAATTAAGAAACTGCATATTAGGAAATTTTTATGACCTGTCTTTAGTTTTGTATGTCATTTTAGTCATCAAACCCCCT